ATATGTATATAAATCTAAATTAAAACATCGAGAAATATCAAATGATTACCCCACATAAAATATATTATACACTGAGAGCTATAACAAGACTTTCTAGCGGGCATCATCTTTAGCCACACGAAACTGCCTTCCCTCGTAGCCACTCTCTTTCAAAATATCATTTTTCTGTATGTATTAGTTCCGAATATTGCGGCTTGGATACGTTCTTGACCTGATCTAATCTTGCTAAGTCTTGCTTTGAATACACTATAGACGGGTAAGCATCCTTTCACCCAAAACATAACTTTTTTCTTTTTTTAATATTATTTTATTACTGTACAGGCCAAGGCCCAAAAAAACTTCAAGTGATTTATAATAATACGAAAAAAAAAAATGTTCATAGATATTCAGGTAGAATAATAATAATAACAACAGTAAAAATAATACATAAATAAAAACTCCAGCTGAAATATAGTTTATGGATGGTTAAAAGCGGGGTCCTCATTATCAATACACGTAGAAATGTGAGTTTAGTGGCTTTATGGCATTTATTAAAAAGCAGATATAATTGAGTAAGATGGTTAATATATTTATCGATGTTAACTATATCAAATATTAATAAATCAGATAGATTAGTAGAATTGTACCAAATCGTGAACAATGGACATTGTTTTGAAAATTCGTTCGAGTATTGTCACAAAGTACAAACCAAAACCTGAAAATAAATATTAATAGACTAAAATATATGAACCAATTTCCAAGGTTTAATTGTATAATATTATATTTTTGTGTTTACACTCCGGGGAATTGTTTAATGACCAAATTAAAATTTTTTGCGCGAAAAGCGAAAATTACTGAAGTACTTAATAAGCGAATTGTTAAATTTAATAATAAATGTATATGCAAATAACGAGCATAAATAACTTTGATAAATAGATCCCGAAATGGAATCGCTGGATGCTACCCGCATATTGCAGCAACCGTTTTTTGACATCTTTGTGGTTGTTAGAATCTTATCCTATGTTTATTATTTTGATGTCATAATTCCCACAGAAATGACGGGCTAAGACGTATTCGACTCTTGCCGCTAATTATGATAAATATTATTATTATTATTTTATATTTGTGATGGCAAATTAAATATCGTTACTCCATGTCAGTCTATGGATCCTTACATTTATTAAACTGAAAATTGATACCGATGACATAGAGGAGAAATTTTACTGATTATTGATTTCATCTCATATTGTTATTTTCTTGAAATAGGCTTGTAAGTACTACTTGGTGGAGAATTTTTTTTTACGTATAGCGAAATTTTCAAAAAAACAATAAATGCAGTTCTTTTTTTTTTTTTTTTGAACGGTCGTGATTTTAAAATCCAACTTTGGATTTGTAATATAAAATACTGACATTATAAGTTACTAAATGATCAATATTTCTATGGGGGTGAGGCAATATGTATGCGTATTCGTATTACATAGATTTGATGAAATATGACGATATAAATGGTTATTTTTTCCGTTTGACTTTGGTTTTTTGTACTTTAAAATCTTTTTATTGACATCCAAATATATTATCACGCCAGACACGTAACGCTGAATACAGAAAATTTCCTCAAGACATTTTTTTTTTGATTTTCTCAGACGTCTCGACATCTATCAAACACGATGAGCAAATTCGGTATCGTAATTTATTAAAGTGGAATAGTGGATGCAGAAATTCGCAGTATAACTCCTAGAACAAACGTCATAGTTCTATCTAAATCAATGGAACCTAAAAACCATGGATATGGTCATATAATAATTTAAATCGTCAACGTTTTCACCTTAAAATCTCCATCTATAATATCATCAATATAAAATATCTCCCTGTATCTATAAGCAGATAAACCATTTAAAAATACATTTCCATGAGAAAAATAATCGAAATAAACAAATTCTATTGATAAAAATCGTAAGGATGATATAAATATTTGCATAGTACTCTATTAAATTTCTGTATGCCAAGCAGTGCTCAAATTATGCAGATGGACGTCAGAGTCCGATTTTATTTTTAATAGATTTTAGCGAACCACTTAATTATATTAATACAGGGCTGCTAGTAATGTTTTCGTAGGAAGCGTCTGTTTTATTCGTACAGCACAATTATCAATAATAATTATTGCAATCCATAATTAAAATTCGGTTGGTGATTCGATGGAAGAAAAATGTTAATATATCGAAAAATGTTTCACATCATTTTTGATTATAGACACGTTTTATCTGTCGTTAGATTATAATTTTAGAAATTTCCCGGCCGATTTTCTAGATCCGAAACCATTTTATTTTTTTTTTTTGTTTTTTTTTTTTATAGAAGTGTTATATTTGTGTAAATAACCGAGTCTTGAAGGCATTACAATTTTTGTTTGGAATTATTTTATTCTGAAATCAATTTTTTTTTTCTTAGAGCTTTTAGTAAAAACTATTAAGCAAATCAATTATTTAATTTACTTCTTCTGTAGAAAGTGTGGAGCTGGCTGAATTCCACGCAGGGGACAATTACATTAATATAATGTACTATGAAACGATATTTTTTCTTAAGTAAAACCCACGCCCGTCTTCATTTCCTCCCTTTGCAGTCCACCAGTGCTCGAACTGGATAAATAAAAACGCGTCTAATAAAAACCCTACAGATAGTATTAACTTTAAGCTTTTTTTTTTTTTCTGTCCGATTTACAGGACACATCCGAGACGCAGAGTCGTGCGAGTAGTGCGACAGCTAGCCCGACACGCCAGCAACAGCAAGGAACTGGTTTTTAGCGTCCGCAGCCGTCATCATCATCACCGTCACCACTTCAAAGGGCGATAATTCACGAGCTTGTTTTTGACTCTTCGTTACATTTATTTTATTTTATTTTTTTTTTCATTTTTTACATAAATCACCGAAAGCTTTGCGCTCGAATAACGTACATATACAATATTATATACATACAATAATTATTTATTAACTATTAATTATGTCCTCCACTTTATTGACATTTTTAATATTCGTAAAACATGGGTTTAAATGGAAAAAAAAAAAAAGCGAAAAATGTATTTAGCGTTATTTTTGTTAAAACTTATTTACGGTTTTTTGTACTACGCTGTAAAAGATATAAAAAGACGATTAATTTTTTTATAGGGTTTTTTTAGAAGATCGTTTTAGATAAACAGGCGTCTGCTGCAAACGGGGGTTTACTTGGTTTTTATTGTAAACTAAATATAAAAAAAAAAAAAAAAACGAAACTATTGACGACGGAAAAATGAATTTTTATATTTTTAATTTTAGGCATAATTTGCTTATTTTTTATCAAATTTTTGAAAACACCGTTTGCTTTTTAGAAAGCCATAATTTGTATTATTATTATCTTTTTTTTGTTTTGTAATAGTAAAATATTATTTATTAATGAGCATTCATTAATAATGTATTCTGCGTCATTACCTATATTATTGAACCTATGTATTATTAGTTTCCAGTTCTTTCTTTGATTCTCAATATTATCTTGTGATAATCACTAAATCAGCTATCGCAATGATTGTATCGAATTTTCCCCGAAAATATAGACTGTATTGCTCTGAGTTGAGTCCCTTAGCCCTTTTAAACATGTTTATGCTCCCATTATAGCTTTCCCATCGGAGCGCTTTCAAAAATATTGGTTTAATTATATTGATAGCTGAGGAGGACCCAAACATCTGCTACGTCGATTGTATTTGATCTAAAATATTTACCATCTAAATATTATTTTCTCGCTAATTTTGGACACTAATGACCAAAAGAACTCAAAATCGAGTACCAATTACAATTTTCATATCGGCAAAAGCGATACGAGTTGGGAGAGGGATGTTTTTTTTTTTTGTAACTTTGATCACTCCTGCAGACCCTCTATAATGAAGTTACGGATGTCTTATAATGTACTGCGTTAGTGTCAAGAATGCGCCTTTTGGAAATTTTAATTGTCAATCCCGAACCTCCTCTCCATCATTTTTTTTTTTAGTGTACAGTAACACCTGGTCGTATACACCATTGAAGAGAGAAGATATCAAACAATGGCATACTAACGAGGTTTTACTGAATTATATTTATTGTAGTACCTATAATCTATATATATATACTACACATTACACATACATATATATATATAATATTATATTGTAATTTATATGTTCGGTTATTTATTGTTTTACAAAAAATATTTTTATAACACAAAATAGGGAGACGGGGGAGTTATGAGCCTTTAGTGACGGAACTCACGGGTGTTTGATTGTTATTCCAAAGAAATGTAATCAAAGTCCCGTTATCCTCGTAAAAAAAAAAAAAAATGTATTTTTCCGTTATATTATTGTAGGTTTTAACACGTGGTTTTTTCTGTATTCGTTTACCTGATGTACCTATCACGGTTCAAAATTATGCTACCTATGCTGTCTGTGCATTAATAATCATACAATATTGTTTCTGTCCGTCACGTTGCGCGTCGTGCTCACGTTGATAATTATTTATTGTCAAATTTTTACATTTTATATTTTATAAGTAAATTGAATAATAATAATAATAAAAAAAAAAAAAAAAAAAAAAAAAAATCAATTTTAAAAACAATTCGTATAATATAATCACCAATAAAATTATAAATCCTGTTGAAATCGCTAATTTTTTACCGCCAACAATATATTATTTATTCGTTATACATCATTCGGTTACTACACAATAATAATATAATATAATAACTGTTAAGAACTATCCAATTATCAATAATTGTTGTAGTGTTGACTGTTGTAAGCAAAAAGACAATGATAAATTTGCAACGAGACGCAAAATATTACCTATATATTTGTACTGAACTAAATATTATCGATTGAAATAAACTGTTGAATAATAAAAAAAATGTATGCATCTTATTAAAAAAAAAAAAAAAAATTCAACCTATATCAATATAGAATTTTGTTTCGGAGTCGTAACATTTTAAGCGAATGNATTTGTACTGAACTAAATATTATCGATTGAAATAAACTGTTGAATAATAAAAAAAATGTATGCATCTTATTAAAAAAAAAAAAAAAAAAGAAATTATTATAACTAATTATTTTCAAAAATTCTAAATCGAAAAAAAAAATAAAAATTCAACCTATATCAATATAGAATTTTGTTTCGGAGTCGTAACATTTTAAGCGAATGATATTTGTGGACAACCGAGCATTATATAATAATAGACTACATTTTTTTAAGTTAAACAATGACGAGCTTTAAAATGTCTTATAGTTAACCCTTTGACATGATTCCAATTTGTTTTTACTTTAAATTAATGTTTCTAGTATATTATATTATCACAAATGGAATCGTGAATATAATTGCACTGTATTAGTAAGTGTTCTTATTTTTGATTAATATAAAATAGTGTAGTCACATAAGTTTCTGCCTACATGGTATAAATAACTATACAGTAATTTAATATCTAACTAAGCAAAACGAATTTGTTTTTACATAGTTATTAAAAACAAAATTAAATAATTTATATAATGAACCTTTTTTTTATGACAAAAGATCATTCTATTTTCGCATTTGTCAATTACACAATATTTCCGAAAAAATTTACTATGTAAAATGGAGTAAAATGATTGTATTAACTCTTTACAAATTAAAACATATAGAGTTATAAAGGGGTGGTTAAATTTAAGATAAACTGTATATTTATTTTAATTTCCAACTGCCCGGAAATTTAAAAAAAAAAAATTTGGTATAAATTTAAGCTAAAAAGAGCAACTTACATATATTTCTAATTTTCAAGAAGACAATAAATAAATTGTTTTTTTAATTTAACTTGTCTAAATATTATGTGCAGTGGTCTTTATTTTGTGAATTACGAAATTCGATATACCCCAAATTTTGTTCCATAAATTTAAAAAAAATTATGATAAACTTTAAGTGCCACAAAAGTGTTGAAGTTTTATGAACCGAGGATAAATTTTAATTTATTGCATGTACTTTCTTAAATATTACACAAAAAAACATGTAAAACAATTGTCGTAGAACTATATACTTATTAAATAAAGGTTTCTTATACGTTTGTCATAAATTTGATAGTTTTCCGTAAAACAAAAAAAATCGATCAAAGTAAATGTTTTAGAGAATTGGCTTAATTTTAAGTTTTTATCTATACAACCTCTTATAATTTAAATGTATACAAAAATGATACATATGTATTATTATTGAACATAATATTCTCTAAAAATAAATGTTTGGAACATTAACAATTTTCGTAAATTAAGAAAAATAAAAGAAATAAATTAGTTTAATTATTTAAAAAAATTCTATATGATTATAGATATTAATAAAAAGTGTCATTACTAAATTGCCATCATAATCGTTGCAATTGGTGTAGCACAAAAGTACATACAACCAGCAGAAGAATAAATTGACCAAACATAATCATCAAAATAAAATTGTTTTTGTGTACATATATTTTACTTAAACACTTTTGGATATCACACAGTGTCGACCCGATCACTAAGCCCTGAACAGCCAGTGTCTCAGTCGTATTTGTATCTGGAGGTCTCTGAAAACTTAATATTTATAAAATATCGTCATTTAACTACTAAGTATATTTTCCAGAGATTATATGTACATAGTATTGTTTAGACTTTAGTTGATTATTGCAGACTGCAGTGAAATAATAAAATATAATAATTTATTATTATTAATTAGTGTATGAGTGGTTATATTTATGCACCTGCAATAACTAAAAAGTAAAATGTCGCTGAAAATCACTTTTGTTAATACATCTGTTATTTTTTAGAAATATTATCGACCATTAAAACAGACTTTCTACCCATTTTTGCATTGATTTTCATCGTTTTTGTATTTTTCATCTAGGATGTTTTTATAATTAAAATATTCCAGGGACTCTTGGTGTGCCTGGCCGACAATTACCGAACACATTTGTTTTGTTTTTATATTATACTGGATGTTAAAATCCAAAAAAAAAAAATATATATATATACGGTGAATTAAGTCAACCAGTTCCTATAGTAACTACTGTTCGTTGTGCGTTTCCTTGCGACAACATATTACAGCTCTCACACTTAATTATCTTGTGGTTTTGTTTGTTTTAATTTTTTTAATTTCATCTTTATCATCTAGGCAGTTCCATAAGTAAACAAAAATAACTAGATTTATGTAAAAAAAAAATACCTACTTGAGATACATTCTGCGGTTAAATCTACACACGAACGATTACAAAGAATTTTAAGAATTGGTGATTAATTTTAAGTGAGATACCACCAGGGTTTAAATACCTTATCAAAACAGCTAGGAAAATATCTATTTTACCGACCTCAGAAGTAACATAGCGGCACTGTTTCAACGAATCATTTGTTTCACTACATAATTTCCCTTAAAAACTGACGGTTCATTATAGCTAATCAATAGCCTACATCTGTGGCAGCTTCTGACTGCTTTTTATAGGATTCCAAATATTCTACTACATCACCTGACGGCTTTTTACAGGCCTCTCAAAGCAGCCTTTAGTGACTTATTGCCAGCTTATCGAACATTATTTTACAGTTTAATAGAATTTAATCATATTTTGTATCAATTAGTCAATTACTTTGATAATTCACTTGTAACATCTGCTCTTAATAGAGATGTTTTGGATCATTTTTATCGTTACCTACAAGAAGATTTCTAGGCATTTTGGTGACCTAGTCCAAATCTGGATACCGTCAAAAGTTATTCACTTTTATAGTCCAGGAATTATCATCTAACTATTTTTGAAATGAAATATATCGTTTAAAAATAATTTTACATGATAAAAACAGAAATTAAAAGCTATATGTTGGTTTATTGTGAAACGTTAGACATAATTTTGATTTTTTTAAAGTAAATTTTAACATTTTAAATCTGACCATAAATAAGGTGCTGAATTATCTATGATAAAAATATATTACCTAATTATTTATGATATCTTTATAAAGAAGTAAAGAAACTGCTTATTTTTCATCGTTTGATGAACGATTTGAACGATTGCTTTGTGGTTTTTTGTTTTTTTTTTATTATTATTATTATTATTATTATTATTATTATTATTTACAAAACATTAATTTGCGGATGCCTATTTAAATAAATTTTTTCTATTATATTACCTATGGGCTGTACTATAGGTAATATCGTTTCTGGCTGTAGTGCCATTAATGTTGATAAGGCAACCGTAGTCCAATCGAGTTATAAAATATTAATATAAATATATGATTATAAAACGCTTACCTATATTCAATAATATTCTACGTGACCGACCGCAGTCGCAGACTTTATCTTCTGGTCCGTGTACGTCTAAACAATAATGATGGAATTAGTTTCTGCAGGCGACGTTGATAACGATGTTCATCTATAACAACATCGTCAGACGATTATATTCGAGTAAATCGGACGGACACAAAATATCACGGCCGAGTAAATTTCAATTGAATTACCCCGGGCAAGTAATATATTTTTTATTTTTTCAGAACGACCATAGCGTACCTCGGCTACGGAAATGCTGATACGATCTGTAAACAAAAAAAAACTGGCACGGTAAGATTTTCTGACCAGTTCACACTAGTGCGGAAAACACTACTACTTATATTATTGATTGATATTTTTAATATTGAATAGGATAAATACAAATTCAATACTCACTTTTTTGTATATATTTCTTCTGTCCGTGTGCATATCACTGAACTCCTCCTAAATGGCTGGACTGTTTTTGATGACATTTTTTGTGTGTATTTGAATGGGTCCCTGGGTGGTTAAGATTCACAATTGGATTTTATAGGTGGCGTTTCAAGGGTGGCTGACACAGAATTTTCGGTATTTTTAGTACACTGATCAAAGTATGGGTTACGGATGAAATTAAAAAACAAACAAAATAAATAAATATTGTGATAGTCCGTGTACGTTATCTTAAAATTTAAGTGTGCATATGATAGAAAATTAATAAATAATGATCCAAGTAATCAAATAAAAATAACAGTTTACAGTGAGTAAAAATAAAAATTATTTTTTAAATATTTGGTTATGAATTTAAAATTTATCTATAGACATAAAAATTAATCGGTATTTTGTTGGTGACGCCATAACTTGAAAACGGATGACTGATTTTTTTTTCGTATTCTTAATCGTAACGGAAAAGGTTTTAGGAATTTTTCGGAAAATCCTGCAAAGTCGTATATTTGGATGTTATTTTTTGACCTCAATCTATAGATTAACTATCGAGTTATTAATATTATATAAATATAAATTGCCAGCACATACGCACATAAAGGTTTAAAAGGAACGCCATATCGTTTGCGAACAACTATTATAATACGGTACACGTACACTCTCACCTTTGAAATCTTCTCTCTTTAAAATTCTGTTTTAAGATATTTATAATATAAAAATCATGAAAAAACGCACAATAGAACACTTTTAGTCCACCGAAGGACTATCCACTTTCCATCGATTTTTGTTTCATTCAATACTGACACAGTCAAAACCAAAACGAAATATGGGTATCTAAACAAAATCATAAAAAAAGGATGGGTATACTCCACACGTGGGTGCAGTCACTGTTTTAGATCAGAAGTTGGGAAGGTAGGATATTATTGATTAAATAAGAGAATTGATTAAAAACGATTCTGAACGGAGTTCATTTGATAGTGTTGCTTTGTCAACAATATATATGTATGTCATATTATGGTAAAATGATTATAACAATGTGCATTTCCATGACGACAATAATTGTTTAAAAAAATTAAAATTTAATAATAACAAAAAATAGATATAAACGGTTGCCAATGGTAATTTTATTTTTAATCTTTCTATCTTTTTTAATCCAAAGAACTAGGTTTTCCTCATTGTCTTGAATATTAATGAGAAGTTCAAAAAAATGACTTCTCTAAAGTACCACTCAGAAAACATGTCCTTTTAGAAAAGACGCTATACTTGATAATCGAATAAGCTTTTTGGTAGAAAAAGTGTTCACATAAAAAAAAACAAACATCATTTTAAAACCAAAACAATTCTGGCTCCACTCAGAATCTAAAATTATCACGGTCAACGGCGGATGCGTCAGCTGCTATGACGAATTAATAAAAACAATAATAATGTTACAAATAATATATCTCCCTGTCAACTAAATCAACATACGTAACTATGTATTTGGTAACTATAAATGGACGAACACATCTGGGATCGAGGTGTTATAAACTTGAAAAAAAAACCTAAAATTTGATTTCTTGTTAATATTCGAGTAGAACACAATGTAATAAAAACCGTGTAAATATTTCTTCCGTCTTGGGTTACTGTAGTATTATTATGTATAGTACCTATTCACTTTGACCCGAAAATATGTGTCATTCTCCTCGGTTAGTAGGTCTGTTTTGCAAAGGTTACAAGGTCATACGAATTCGTTTATTGCTTACACAGAGTGCCCCGCGAAGAAATACCCACGATGGTATCTCCACGGAGATAACGAAAATAATGAAATTTGTGTTTTTTTTTCTGTATTTACTCACAGGTAATAGGACAAGAAGTATTCCAAATAAATTAATACATTTTGGTAAAACAATTCAAAACAACTAGACAAAAATTACTATTCAGAAAAGTTGTTACTGCGAATCACTAACTGTAGAAAAGGGACAGAGATTTTTAGACAAACAAAATCTTAAACAATTTAAAATAATGACATCGTTGCGCAGTAATTTAAAAAAAATCGTATTTTACGTCATTTTCGGTTTTTCTCAATTATTATGACAACTTCTTTATACATAAAAAAATTACTTTCTACGTCAGTGGCTAAATACTAAATAAAACAAAATCGTTTAAATTTCAATCTGAGCAAAATTTCTTGTAGAAAACATCGTTTGTAAAAATTAAAATAATTAGACCGGGAATACATTGCCGTAAATATTAATCAATTTTAATTTGTTGGTTTTTCCCAAGCATTATATACCTTACCTACATACCTTGTGTTTTACGGTACACCGTAAATATTTACCGTTTTATCAGTAATTTTTATTTTTTTTTGGTTTTCTCAATTATTTTGAAAACCATATGATGAAAAATCTTGAAATTACCTCTTTAATATAACAACAAGACAAAATTAGTTTTCAAAGAAAGAAAAGTTGTTTACAGGCAGAAAATAAAACATAAAAAGCACACATTATAGTAAAATCAATAGAAAGCTCGCTGCGTTTCGAATCTAAAAAAGAACCAATACAGGGAGCGTGTACATTGCGTATGTACGCAAAGAAAAACCATTGTTAATGAAAACAAATTCCGAGAGAAGTTCGGTAAAACATATTTTGTCATGCCGTAATTTTTACGATTTTCGTCAAATAAACGAAAAAATTAAGAAGAAAACGCACACCATAGTATAACGTTATCCATTACTCGGACGCTCCGAATTTTAAATTGATGTTTTATGTTATTGGAAAAAATTAAAATATTCATTAATTTAGTTAATTCAAATTTAATCTCACAACATCAAATTTTTCTAAAATAATAAGATAAAGTAATATATACAATTAATTCACCAAAACATAAAAACATGCATACACAATTATATGTCTTATATCTGTGAGTCACATAAACAAATTGATGATATTCATTAACTCACCACGGGTGAGCATATTCACAGGACACCCTGTCGTATGTGTATAGAATGTTTGATGATGTTGTACATTCATTATTGAAAAATAAACTTTTACAATTATTTTAACTATTTTATTTAATTTAAAGTTACAGCGTTTAAAGTTTGAAAAATATAAATTTTACTGAAAAAAAAAAGTTTTTGATATAGTACTCGAAAAAATAACATTAAAACAAAAACATTCATACTTTATTGTAATATTGAAAAAAAAAACCAATTACAAATTCAAAATAAATTTACATATAATATTCATTTAGATTGTTTTTTAAAAACTAATTATTTATGGGAAAGTATTTCAATGTTCAATGACGCCACACAGGGTATTGTTGAAAGTATAAGGTATGCAAATGATAATTAAAATATCGGATGAATTATCACTATTGTATAAAGACTTTAGCGCTCACTGTTATAAAATCTCAAAAGAAATATATTCGACGACATAACCTTACAAATTATCGATGTCGTTACCGGACTAGCGGTTGAAAGCGAAATATGTTGATTTTGTTTTTTTTTTTCGATTTTGATTATGATTGCTATCACTAGTATCAGTTTTTTTTGTTTCGGTTTTATACCGTTTATAACCGGTTTCGATAACGGTTTTATACCATGAAAAAGTTTAACAAGTAATCAGAAGGATCCGTTATAAGCAGATCGAAATACATAGAAATTTATCTATCTTTCTGTCGGGATTTTATTATTTTGTCCGATACGAGAGACGTCCGTTATATTCGGGTGTCCATTAAGACCGGTTTCACTGAATTGTACATTTTTCATTGAACAATGCTAATTTATTCGTATTGTAAATTACAAAAATATGCATTAGTGAGATCAGACTGGCGGGGGAATGTGTGTGTAGGGGGGCATGCAATTGTTTTACTTCAATCGGGTTTTTTGACCACACTGATATTTTACCGAGGTACCGTGGGGTCGATAATCACTGGCACACCGGTATAATTACAAATATACATATAGCAGATTTGTTTTTTCTCATTCGTCTATCAAAATGAATTAAATTTATGTTTTCCCTAGCTGAAACATGTTTATGTGCGGGCTTATTATTAGAAAAAAAAAATGTTTACTCCGCATTATGAATATAATATGATACCGACATGACCGTAGGTGCAAATAGCACAAATAAACATTTTTTTTTTTTTTTTATCGTGTATTCATATTTATGTTTCACAACATCGGCTTTCTTCACTAGGTACAAACAAACACATTAAACACACACAGTGACGGATATAGGAAATAGACGAGGGAGGTGCTCAAACAAATCTACTTTTCATGTTCTTTGAAAATGTATTTTTGACGTAAGTTATAATTTATATAATGCTGTATAAATTCTATTTTTGAAGTACTTCTACACGTGTGAAAGAACGGGCTTCAGTCACCCTTGTACCCACCCCTGTACACACAATTATTATCCATACAAATTATAGATAAATTTAATTTGTGTTGTGAAGTTATTTGGTTAGTATTTTTTGTAGATATAAAAATAAAGCTAAGACAAAGTTACAGGTATTCGGTTTAGTCGTGAATGAATGATGGCGTGATTATTTTTTAATATTACTGCGTAGAGAACAAACCGGTAAGGAAATTAAAATAGATTTTATATGATTCGCGTTAATACGCAGAGTAGCCTCATTACACGTGTTTTAAACAAGTAGTATCTTTTCTTTCATTTTTGAACAAGGCACGCCGTGTGTGTCTTAAGGTAATTTTCTCGACACCCATAGAGAACCTGAAGAGACACTCCCTTAGATCATATAGAACGGATAGAGCTACGGTTATACCTCATGTGAAACGAGTACATCACCAACATATGGAGAGCGCATGTAGCTACTGCGCACGCGTCACCCTCTTTATAATATTCTGATGTATATTTTGCGTATAGAAATATTACATCTCTATGATATTTATTAGGTAGATTGTGATAAGGCTGATACCAGTATTTCGCGCATGCGTAAAAGCGAGACGCCCTCTTGATATGTCGGCGACACGTTTTATTGCTTATAGCTCTGTCCGCTGTACACGACCCGAGGATAACCCGGCCCGGAACTTCCGACCCGCGGTGTTACAAATCGTACGGTTCCCGGTTTCGGTTAACAACACCCCTGGGCCCGCAGTGTCAATTTTTTTCTTTCGATATCGGTGTCCAACGCCGTTTGTCAGCGCACCGAACCCCGGACCCCATTATATTATTGTTGCTGCGGCACACGTCCACGGCGACGATGATATTATAATTATTATCGTAACAGCGAACCGATTATTTGCGGTCGGGCGCGTCGACGACGGCGGTACCGGGGTGACGGGTCCCACGAGACGCGCGGTCGACGACCACCGGCGCGGCGTGAGCGGGACGCGCGCGAGCCGGACGACGACTCGCGCTTTGTGTTGCCGTTCCGAACGACTTTCGAGCGGGAGGCACGGGGCCGTCATCGCGCAAGTCTGGCCGGCGCCGTCGGCACCGCCGTCATAACAACGCGGCCGGGCACTTCCCGCCGACGACGCGACCACGACGATCCACGCCGACGACCCGCCGGTGTCGGCCGCGCGTGTTCACGTGACAGTACTACGCGCGACTCGTGCCCATTCGCGTTCCGCGGCGCCGGCAGTAAAGCGTACCGCGGTCGACGACATGGACGCGAAACCCGCAGCCGATTACCGTAACAAGTCGTCCAAACGCGATTTCAGGTACGCCGAGTCCCAGCTCCGGAATCTCCACACGAAAATCGTGAGTGTCGTCTTTACAATAATATTTTCCTAGATACGCACCCGCGCGAGTGTCGATCCGAATGGATTGGGGGGAGATGGGAAATTCGAATTTTTTTTTATTTTAGCATAGGTGTCGCAATCGTATTACACCCGTATCTATACGCATCATACAAACTATGTAACAAAATATTTCAAAGTCTCCCGTCTTCGTAAAATCTCAAGTACGCCACTGGTCAGAATATTCTATAGTGCATTTCATTGCTTCGATTGACTTTCGTCGTCACAGGTAAAAAATAAACTATTATATCCCGACGGATAGTCTGTTCCTTCCGAACTCTGTTGATTCCGTCTATCGACTTTATTACCAGTTTACATTTTACGAAAACTTATTTTTTTGTCAGCCTCTAAGTAGATTTACATATTATAGAAATTTCGTGGCTTTCTTTGAGTGGTTTGTGTACTCGAGAATAAAAAAAATGTGCATAGTATAAAACAATTTTCTTCTCCACATTTTTTGTCGAATTTGTGTCTGCTGTACATATATCTCTATCTTTTTCCCGATATATTTGGACACCCTTAGCGGCTGTCTCTTAACCGAAATGATCAAACTTAGGAATTTGATGAATTGTTTTATGCGTGGATTAAAATTGATAACCTTTTTGGTTGAATTTAGATGTGAAAATAACCATGTGTTTGAGGAAAAATTATTATGGTTTATTTAGTTTTATACGTTTCTACAGATCCCGAAACGAAGCCGGGAGGATGACGTTTTGTATATGCATGGTGTATGTACCAAGGATGCATTTTCTGACATTTCCAACTATAAACACGTTCCTCGATCATTTGTATGGTCATATCTAATTTTCACAGGGTTACTCATAAATTTAAGTAACTCGGTTAGAACGCGTGTATACATTAATAAATTTGTTGTCTAAGATACCCCGACTCGAATCTCGAAAAACTACATTATATATTTCGGAAAAACTCTATTTGATTCAATTCCTTAGCATTATAACTAAAAAAAAAATATAAAAATATTGTAACGGCAACAAACCAGTGGACAGGAAATTCGTCTCTAGTAACGGAACTCTAGTGCTCTAGTGTTTCATTCCTTCTATAGTTTATTAGGTTCTACGTATTTCAAGTGTAGAACAGTATACGGTGTATGCATTTAACCGCATAATAACATAGTTTGTATTAATATTCAACGGTATACAGTATCAAAGCCGGCGGTGACATAACGACAAATAATTCACTTTTGAATGTAAATATTTTATTAATATAATATAAGTATCAAATTTATAAAATTATAAATCACACTTGGGTAGTTTCTCTCTGTAGAAGTGTTTAATCCAAACGCGACTAGGTACTATTATACGTAACTATTCAAATTTCAAAGTCGGTAATACACGTACAAGTTTGTTTGAAATGTATTTTCCTCGTGGTGCCAAACACCCGAAACTTCAATCCTCCCCCGATCATGGTTGCGTATTCAGATCAGAACATTCATATAATGTACGAGTGTAATAATATTATTACGTATCTGCAGATCTCAGCAGAAAAGTATTTTTCTTATATTGCAAATGTAGTACTGGTGATTCCAGGGGTGGGGGATAATGGGTGGGTTACCCCTCCCCCCTTTTCATGTGCTAATTTGTATATCCGTAGTCACTCTAATAAGTAGTGTAATTTCATTCGATCCATGTTATCACTTTTTTAGCCATGCTTTATCAATATACTTCTACGAGTTACTGTAACGACGTTCGGATCGATGTATTTTTACAGAGATACACTCACTTTTCTCTGGGTAATTAGATGAAAAACGGTGAGTGACTGAACGCGAGCGCACTATTGGTCGAAATTAATTCCCATGTCCTCAAAAATAAGGGGCGTGGGGGTTGTGTGTGTTTTATATAAAAATATTTTTAATTTTTTTTTTTTTTGAAAAAGTATAAAATCTATTTTCTACATTATAATACACAGGTACCTTTTTCTTTATCGCTTCTGAATTTTATTTTCAAGTCGACGTGACGGATTTGATTATGAAAATAAGAATGCGGTATTTGTTATGTCTTGAAACAATTGGATTGTGTGTATAAGTTTTTGACATTGCTTCAAAGTTTAAAAAAAAACCACCGCAAGTCTAAATGTATACGAATTTAAAAACTCGTCAGCAAGTTTTTCCTTTGGATTGGAAAATTCATTTCTGATTAAAAGCGTTCACAACGCACATTGAAAAAGCTCTTTTGGGTTATGCAGGCTAAGTTATTGTAAATCGGCTTTAAATGTTGTACGAGCTAACGTATATAAAAATACTAAAAAAATAAAAAAACCACCAACAATATCAAATATAATATTAAACTGCGGCAATAATACTTTAACTGACATTAGTTATTCATCATAAGTTATTTCATCAGACGCCGTGTCGATGTTATCTACAAGTAACTTTCACGGTAGCTCCTTTATATTTAACGTTGTATAATTTTTAAATGCATACCTATACTTGTAGTCATAACTTATTTTTAAAGTTTTATCGGGTTCATACAACATTAATTCTTTCTCCGAAAGTGTATATCTTTATAGGCTATAGTAATAACTAACACATTGTATAACTTGTGTTATTGATTTTTTAACTTTTCAACTAATTGTATAACTCTAAGCTAACTTTAAGTTACTAGATGCCCCATACGGTGTTGCACATGTCAATTTATAAATTCCCCCACCCTTATTATTTAAAAACCGAATATTTAAAATATCCTTTCAACAAACCGAAATCAATAAAACGATGAATTCAATTCAACGTGTACCCCGTGCCCAACCCCGCCACTACCGCAATCAACTGCCGAGTGTTGTTGCCGAGTAATAATTCATCTCTTAAAAAGGGTAGGTACTTTGCTCGTGACAACGAAAAAAACTAATAATAACTGTATTTTTTTTTCATCCATGTCGCCAAGGTTACCCAGCAATAAACCGAAATTCGTTTTTCGTATGAGGAACCATTTAAGGGTTGACATTTAAAGACCCGGTGCTTCGACTTGGCGAACACGGATTCGATTCGACCGCTTCTGAATGAATATTTTCAGACCTATTCTGCGTGCGATAGATCGAGCAACAAACGTTGACTTTAATAATTATCATAGATTTATAATGGTTTTTTTTCCCGCATTGCGACGAAACTATACGTATAGGTATATTATCAATAATTAAAACCACCGTAAAATCCACCATTCGAAAATAACGGTAATGACGTACCAATTAGCATTGTTATTTTATTTTTATTTTTTAAGAGGAAAACACTGTTAGCTAAATATAATTCCATCAATTTATAATTATAATAATATTATCCGAGCGGAGCATTTTTTATGAATGGTTGTATAATTATTGTCGGTAGGTGGTTGAAAATAATAATTATATTATATTAGAATATTTAATGTAATTTAACATTTATAAGATAACTAGGTAAACGAGTGGACCGACATTTTTTTTCACGGTTGTATATTTATTTTTTATTTATATACTGACGTAATAATATTTTCAATTCTTATTTCACGAAAAAAAATCCATTTCACTAGCAGCGATTTGAGGTTAATAACGCAATTGGTATGTATTATTTTTTTTTTACGGTTTAAACTATACATATATGAACAAAAGCGGCAAAATAGATAAATCACCAGAATTGTACGAGGAACAAATAAAGTCCCACCGTTTTTAAGAATAAAATTAATATTGATAATTCTCTTAGCCACGAGCGAAAAACATAAGATTACATAAAAAATATAAAAATTGTTTAGCTTTTCCGAGTGATGATTTATCGGTATTACGTAAATTATTCGGTTTTGTGGCTAATAAAATTGTCAATATTGGTCAACATTGTGTGTATTGTCCTTATTAACTATAGGACCTTATTCGTTTTTATATTATAAAATTATAATTTTCTCTCGTGTTATTTTTTGTTCCGCGATAATTTAAACCGTATGGAAAAAAAAATACATACAAATTTCATTATTAATCTTAAATCGCTACTCATGAGCTGGATTTTAGATTCTGAGCTGGGAATGAAATGGTTTTACAATGCCGTTTTTTATTTTTTTTATTTTTATCTGTGAACAACTTTTCTAACAGCAATTTGTTTCGATTTTCAAGTATAGCATTTTTTTTGAAAGAAAATCTGACTTGAGTGATATTTTAGGAAGGCTATTTTTTGATTTTTCCATGGGTTTTAGATGCTATTGTTATACCTGTTCAAATAAATTACAAAGGTAAACCTGCAAAAAAAAAAGAAGAAGGTGTATGCCTCATCGAAGTCAAATTTTCAAATTTTAACCCATAAAATGTGGTGTCTCACACATGATTTTTGGTATGGTAATAATAAAATTGAATTTTTATTTTTTCAGGGTAACCTTTTTTAATTAGTTAATTTGATCCACCCTAATAAGTATTTAATGTCTATGGTTTTATCGGTTTGTTGTTTCTATTTAAAAAAAAATCGGCATATTTAACGTTCTTTATATTAGTTATAATATACTGTTGAGAATTTTATTTTATATATAATTTTTATCAATAAGATAATATTTACTCTTTTTATTTTTTCATAAGCTTTCCGGCCGTTCAAACAAATTCGGATAACAATACTGTAATAAATTCGAGCGTTATTATTTACGAAATAATTTAAACATTTTACAACCTATACAGTGCATTGGTTTTATCTATACACGTATTGTTTTCCGTAAATATACATAATTTATAACTTGTTTTGCAATAATATTAGAGATTAAATAGATAACATAGGTACATCTACACGTATATATTGGAATATTCGGACGGAATGCGATATCACGAGCTATAATATTGAAACCCCGAAAAATATAGCTACACAAACGATATTATTTGGCCACCGAACATTATCTGTCTGACTTTTAAAATGCAAATCGTAAAAATTAATCGACTATAATAATTATGCCGTTAAGCTAAATAATTTTAATATATTCACGATTATTATTCGCCCGCTCCGCAAAATGCAGTTGCGTTGATAAAAACGTCGTAATCGCATTTATTACTCTTAGCGGACCCATTAATTTCTGCGTTCGCGTTATAAACACATATATATATATATATTGTGGCAGTGGCGTATAGAAATCATTTTTTTGTTGCGAGGTCTAGCAATTTGCTATACTTAACAGTCACCAACACAAGTAATGAATAGCTACTAGTCGTTGCTCCTTACTCGATGTTCTACGGTTCTACTCTCGACTCGCCCAATAGCGACTTCATGACCGAGGCAATTCAACACTTGATAACTGAAAATTAAAACCAACAAATAGTATTTAATATGACATCCACAAATCGTATTCCATTTTTCATAGTGTATATTTGTCCCTTGTGTATATCAACATCCACATCCCCTCTTGTAATTTCCATACAATATTTGTCTCGTCACTTACAAGGCTCGTGTGAGGCACCGCTGGCCACATCTATCAGTTTTAGTTAAACCACAGGCCTCAAAAAACAGATCCACCGTATTACGGATTTTCGAAAAAAAATTGTTTCCGTAGAAACTACATAATCGATAGGTACACTTACGAATCGATAGATTGTTTAGCGAACAAATGAACAAATAATAGTGGAACTATTAATTCGTTTCACGAAGTTCAGCTGAAATATTATAAAAATAATACGAAATACAAAATATAAAGATGTTTTCAACATTTATTAACAATTATATAAGCATAGGTGCAATTATACTTCCAACTTTGGGGGTTTTAAAAATATAGACATATCACAGACCCATGGAATAATCCACTTCACATAACACTTATAATATTAAGCAATTACACATTTACATTTAATATAAAAATTGATTATAACTTTTTAATCATTATTTTTTATACACACGCATGCATTGTCTGTTTAAAATCTGCAGTATTTGTATTTATTGTGCTTATTAAGTATGAAATAAATTTGATACATTTGAGCTATTGGTTTTACTAAGATGTAGATACGATATTATTATTATTATTTTTTTTTTTTTTGTGGACACGTTATCTCTTAATAAACTTGCTCCGATTTTTACGTGTAGGTCATATTTTGATTTTCGAATCCATTTTTTTAAATAAAAGCACTTAAGTGGGAAAAAATACAATTTCACAATTTCATTATTTTATAAAAACACGGAAGACGTTTTCTACCAAAAAAAATTACTTGATCGAAAAATCACAAGACACGTCTTTTATTGCTATTTTGTTTAAATTATTATAGTTTTATCGCCAAATCTTTTGAGCCACTTTTGAGCTTTTAAGGAATTTACATTTTTGGGAGTTTTTTTGATGTAATTCGGTTATAAATACACGTAGAGACTTGAAACTTAGTAATAATAATTATATTAGAATTTCCTAGACGTGGTGAAATTTCAAAAACGTCGGACGATTTTTTTTTTTTTTCATAAGTCTTCTGAAATCAAATTTTAACGGAAATTGCAAAACAAATTACGGCACTTCGAATGATATATTATCGAACTACGTTCGGAATCGTCTTTCGTCAGCAATACCTTATCGTTGTTTAGGAGTAAAAATTAAAAAACTATGTATTCTACCTTCTCAACTATAAACCTACAACAGTAGCCACACCCATCCCCAGTATCAGCCCTTTTTTTAGATTTATTATTGTAACGAATTTCTGCTAAGCGAAAAAATAGTGCGGCTATCGAATTTCCATAAAGTTTAACAGTCTTTCGGTACAAATGGTACCGTCGGAAAATGGAAATATTTACGGCTTACGGAATAACGGTTTTGTTATTTTCAATTTTGGTACATTGTTGGAATGCAGTTTAAAATAATTGTAGACACAAGATATTTTCATCGAATACTTTAATGAACTCTTTTTAGACGTTGTACAACATTCCGACGTATTTTTATTTTGATTTTTTCGAAAATTTAATAAACGTTTGATCATTAGTTGTTCTTATGGCATTAAAAATTTATTAAAAATTCGTTGTTAAAATTTTATATTAAAGAGTTTAATGAAAATCGAAAATGTCTTGTAATTTCGTATAAGTATATACATTTATATACCAAATTGTCTTTGCATATACTAATATATTTTATCTAAGTCGTCCATTAGAGAAGGTAATATTACTATTTCAACTTTAGTTTTTCAATTCTAAAAATGCCACAATTTTTTTGTACAATATCTGCAGTAATATCTTAAACTGATATATATATATATAAATATATATGTATATTTTGGTATAGAATCCGTGTATCTTTGGTTGGTTAAGACATTACAGTTTTTATAGACCAAAATGTATTTTTTTGTTTCCTTATTATATAATATTGTGTTCGTAAGTTATATTACGTACTAACTTATTTTTTATTGAAATAAATGAGTTACCATATTCACGGTAAATTCGAATTGTTTCGCCTTTAAAGTGAAAAATATATAAGAATAGTGTACTACTGGTTTTTAAACTCGTTTATTACGCAATTTTGTTACGAATTGAATTGAAATTATTTTCTTTTTGTGTGTGTGTGTTATCCACGGTGCACAATAATAATAATATTTTCGCTTCAATTGTTTCACAATTTTGGAATAAATTTATATCCAACGGTAGATAGATACTACTTAGTATAGTTTAATTGAATAAGAGACAATTTTATACCATGTCCATTTATAGACTAAGCTAATTATATGGGTACAACTCTAACGATTTTAGCGTGACCTATATTATATTATATCTAATAAAATGTTAAGCCATTTTAAAATATCTATTGCTCAAAAATTATTTTAATAGACATTTCTATGTATCTATTTGAACTGTAATCACCTTTAGTAATGTTAATAGTATAAAAAAATTAAGCGAAAATTTCAACTGTGTCACAATCTTCCTCAGGTATACTCGAACTTTCGATTGATTGGCTGCAATTATGTGTTCATACTTCTCTAAAATATACTTCTCTTCAAAATCTTTAACTTTCGACAATTTTTTTTCCCGCGTCCTTAGATATTTGCGGTATTTAATTCACCTGGAATTTTTCTATTTTGCATAACCTAGAATAGTATAGCTGATGATATTCTATTACATTATCTCTTTTATTTTATTGACATTTACCGAAATTGTCTTTTTTCCTTAATTATTTTTTTAAATTCTTAATTCTTGTCTCTGACGCATCGCTTAATTTTGAGTATCTACCTATTCTAGTGGTGAGCCCAATGCTATTCGTGATGGTTAATAATTAATTTTCATTTTAAAAAACTCTGACATTGAGTACTTGATATTTGAATAATGTTTAAATTGTGTTATATATTGTACATAATATTATACTTAAACATAATGATACAATACCGGAATTATGCGGATACTTAAAAGATAGCGCTAAATATATGTTGAGTTTACTTGTCTAATTTTTCGTATACAATATAAGCTCATTGAATATTTATGACTAATAAAATTGTATATTAATATAGAAAATTGTAAACTACGCGAGTAGAGCAATATACAATGTTGTAAATTATTGTCCTCCGAGAATGGTTTGATCAACTTGAGGTTTTGTGACAATATTTTTATTCGTTAAAGTTTATAATATCATATAAAATTGTAGCTAGATTTTATAACACAATTGTAATTTTATTTTTTTATGGATTTCTATTGACCTTGTTGTGGAATTAAATTTTATTTCATGGCTATAAAAAAAAAAAAAAATAAATACATACATATTTGAGTTTTATATAATCTGTAAATCATTGTAGCTTAGTAAATATCGATTCGTTTAAACTGATCGAATATTTCAATTTTAACCTATTATTATAATGGTGTCTATTTCGGAGTTCAAAGTCAAGGATTGGCGAATTTTTATTTATTTACAATCAAATATACTATAATAGATGAAAATCTGCAAATCTTATCAAGGGTTAAAGTAAAAAAATAAAAATAAAAGTGATGGTACCAGCTAAAACCGTATTATTAATTATTTCTTAAATAATAGTATTTAAACGTTTTTAAATTCATGAATCAATTATAAAAGTTCCTAATTTGTTAATATACATATTAGATAAAAATAAGCTTATACGATATTATTATTTAACTTTTTTTTATATAGATATATATAGATTGTTTATTACTCAAAAAAGTGCAACATTTTAAATATATTTAATAATTTATTGTAAACTGTATTCTAAGTTACACAAAATTACTTTTTGTTTTTTATTCATCACCAAACTAGACCGACGGGATTTGTAATACCTGAATATAATACTGTATGATATATATGGTTTGAAGTTTTTAGTTGTGGTTTAACTATTGATTACCTTCAAATTATAACTAGGCGTAACTAAACCACCAAATTTGAGGTGCTAAAATTATAGACACATCACAGACTTACAGGAAAAATGCCCCCCACAGTCCCTTTTGCAATTTTTAAACAATTTGAATACAAAAAATACATATTTCATTTAAAATTGATTATAAACAAAAAAGTATCAAAACTTTTTTAACTTTATATTTCATACACACATACATTATCTGCAGGTAATCTGTATTTGTTCTACTTATTAACCATTAAAAACGTAGATAAACTATTTAGTCAATATTACAAAAAAAAAAAAACTTGTTGGGTATATTTAAAGTTGCTAAAGATACATCGGTGGTATTATTTTCGCTTAAAATATGATATATAGTATAAGGCATTTGAACCTAGTCGGCTAGCTACAAGGATAAATTTAAACTGTATTGCTTAATACATGAGTAATTTTATAACTAAGTTCGCTAAGCTTAAAGACTGTAGAACAAAATTTGAATTATTATTAAAATATATAGTAGAATAAAAAAAACACATATAAATTATATGATATATTATATTTGTATTGTCAGATTCTGAGTGGAGCGAAGAAGCTTATGGTTTTACAAAGATGTTTATTTTTTTATTTTTTTTTACCTGTGCGCAATTTTTCTACCAGAAGACTTGCTCAAATTTCTAAGTGTAGCGCTTTTTCTAAAAGAAAATCAGTGTGGCGAGATATTTATTTTGATTTTCTCAGGAGTTTTCTCATCAAATTTTAAAAACCGAAAAAAAAAACGGGAAATTATAAGAAATTTTGGTATTAGTTAAAATATATTACGACCCAATAAAAAATTTCTGTGCACAACTTTTCTACCAGCAATTTTGCTTCAACTTGTAATGATAGCAATATTTCTAAAAAAAACTGCTCTAGGAAGGTACTTTAAAGAAGTAATTTATTGATTCTCCCATGAGTTTTCCCAGCAAATGTGAAAAACCGGGAAAACAAAAGAAAATTGGGAAAATCGGTACAACATGAAACAAATATTATTAAAAAAATATATATAAAGCCTATTTAATTATTTTACTAAAACTGATGTGTATATTGTTAACAAAACATCACTATCAACTGAACTCAGATCAGAATTGTTTTTTTCTTAAGTAATGGTTTACCGTTGCTTACAGGTTTGCAGTAAATTATCTATAACGTTGGCTGCAGACGTTCCCATTATCCTAGGACGTCTTTTTTTTTTGTATATCATCAAATAAGGACCTTCAAACATATTTAGTATACGAACCCACAATTTGATGTGGGTATATTAAATATATATGAAATTTTCTATTTTACATCTTGCTTATCTTAGTTTTTAGTATATTTCAAAATTTGAACCTCATATGCAAATACAATAACATCAATTGTATCATATGAAATCAAATAGCATACTATTAGAAGTTACAATGCAACATTCAATGCAGTTTTATGATAATTCTTGCTTTAATAACTTCACCAACCCTGAAAAAACATATGAGATAATAAAAAAATAAAACTATTCGAATCTAGTATTATAACAAATGCTTTTGATTAAAAAAAGGCATTTGTGTTTTGCATATGCACATCGAAAAGGTAAATAAGTTTAAATATACCTATCATTAATATTGTGTTTTAGTGTCTCGTAAAACTTCTCGAAAGGGGAATTTAAATCCAAGGTGACCCGGCAAAATATTTAAATTTATCCAAAAACGCGAACACATTGTATATTTTTATTTTTTTTTATTTTTTCAAAAATTGTGAACTAAAGGCGTACATATAATATTATTATAGTTACATTTGTCATATAATTTTTTTTTTTTTAATTATTATTCTTTATATTAGCTTCTGCTTCGACATTATTTTTGGTGGTAATTCGATTTAGTGCCACGACTATTGTCGCTTCCCGCGTAGGTATATTTTGTTTTGTTTGACATTTTGACAGTCGTGTCACGGTTCGACGAACATCATAAGGGTTGTGTTTCCGCTTGTGTTATTAAAAAAAAAAACATTGACGTATAAAAAGCATGACGTACCATGAATAGAACACGGATTAGGTGAGCATTTTGAAAAGTAATTTTGTAAGATAATTTCTTTATCTGTAATAAAGCCAATAATATATTAATATATATATATATATATATATGTATATGATTAAAGCAACCAAATAAACGATTCTGAGCGGGGTTGTATTATTGTGATGTCAGACATTGTGGTTTCCTTTGTAGTCAAGATAATAATTTAGAAATCAACAAAAATAAAAATCAATGCATCGACATTTGCTATCAGTTTATTTAAATAATATAGAAAATTTTTTGGGAATATTATTACCAGGTAAATATTCCGCATTCTTTTTACTACGTTATGATGTTGGAGCATTTCACTTTCACAAAAATAATGTTTTCCAAAAAAAAATAAAAAACGTAAACGCAATTTTTAGGAAAAAGTATTGCAAATTACGAAAAGAAATTGCCTACTAAAGTACTATTAGGTAAAAATCCACATATCATTCTAAATTGTGGCGTGAACAAATCGAAGCATTTTGTGTTCCAAGAAAAAAGTTTTTTTTAAGAAAAAACACTTTGGTAAGACTATAATAGCCACTAAGTTATACTCAGAATCTGAAATAACAAAACCCAACGTTAAATTAAAGGCACTAAAAATATATGGACGGTCTAAAAAGCCAAATACCTAAAAGAAATCCGTACTTAAGGCGGTTGTAGTCGTCGAAAAATAGGTAGTATTTAGACTGGAAATATAGACAAAACTGTAGGGTTTGTATTTGATGGATTTTAATTTTGATAGTGGATTGTGAATGATGAATACTATGTTGTGACTATACGAAAAATGATCTATACTTGCTCGTAACAAATAAAACACAATCGATCTAGCTTATTAGATTCCGAGCCATCGGTTTTACAATGCTGTTTTTTTCTTTCTTCATTTTTTTTTTTTTCTTATAGTCTTTAGACACGTTTTTTCCTAGAAACTTGCTCCAATTATTACGTGTAGAAATTTTTCTGAAACCTCAAGTTATCTATATGGTACCTTAAAGAGGTCATTTTTCAACATCATTTATTCAAATAAAAGCACTTGAGTAGGAATAAACGTAGAATTTCACGATTCCATTATTATATAAAAACGCGGACGATTTTTTCTACCAGAAAAATTATTTAATCGAAAAATCACAGGACTTTTAGTGAGGGCGCGTCTCCTTTACATTTTAGACTACTGCCAGGTGGTTTTTATACGTGGATCTCATTCCTCTCATTTGTACGCTGTCCAGTCCCGAGGAATCGACTTAGATCGCAGCTAACCTTCATATCTGAAGGCCACCCCTCTATCCACAACCTAAAGACGCTTCGATAAACTACTCTGAAATTGACTGCCTGACGTCTTATCCCGTTAGAGTACGAGAACCCTCGCTAGTCCGGTTCGAAAGCGATGAAACCAACCAGGACACGGACATAACTACTGAGTGCTAAACCATTTTAACTTAGATTACTATTAGGAAAATGTGCAGTTTCGTAATATTGAAAAACTCATTTTACTAATAAAAAAAACCATGCAACCTAACCACTGGACATGCCACATAATAAGGTTCCTTTCCTGCAGTATTTTTAATATTGGACAATTTATCGGTTTATATGAAATTTCTAGCGGATTTCAACGTTTTTCATCTCAATAATAATAAAAATAATAAAGACGCAGAATTTGTAGTTTAATAGTGGAATATTATGTAATATCGTCATTTTTTTTTTTTTTTTATAATTTAGCAATTAGTGATCGTCTCTTCTATAAAAGAGCAGAGTAACAAACATAGTACATAATATAACATGAATTCAAAATATTAGTCATAATCTGAGTACGATAATTCCGGAGACGGCCGTCGCACCGTTAAATTATTATAATATACTCAAATCATAACTCACTAGTTAACGTATATTACCATAATATTCTCGTTTAAATAAATAACGATGAAAGGTGACTGAAGAAACTCCAAAATTTCCATATAATATTCATAAATTAAGAAATAAAAAACTATATATTTTTCAATCGATCTAGGTATTTTCAATTTTTATCATAAAAAAAAATGGGTAAAATAAAACACTACATTATAGAAACTATTAAGACAGATTGTAAATCGTATTTTTAATAACAAGGATGTAACAATAATATTCTTGAATTATTTTCAAAATAGTCAAATATTATCAGTAATATTTAATTAAATTGGTTTAGACACAATTATTTTTTTCTTCTTCTGTTACTTCCTATTTGTTTCGGATGTTGGGAATCATATTGAATATTACTTCTTTTTCTACCGATGAACGAAATAATTAATTTATTGTTGTGCTTAACCAGTCACGGAGATTTTTGAACCACAATATCCTTCGTCTTCCAATATTTTTATTACCAACAATTTTTCTTTAAGTTTAAGTTGCAGCAACCCATACATTTGGTTATTTCTCATTATGTGACCAAAGTATTCTAATTACAATTATTTTAACTGTTTTAAATTGTCTATATTATTAATTTAAATTATTATTATTATTATTATAAGGCATTTTTATTTGAACAAATTTTGGAGGACATTGCGTATATTTATTAATTACTTAAAATATGTTATATAAGTATTAAATATTTATTAGAGATTTGTATGTATTTAAACTCACCAGGATTTTTTGTTTTGCAGTTTATTTAAACATGAGTATTATAACTATCTTTTTATGTTGTGCAAAAAAAAAATAATAATAAATGCATATTTTTTTAAAAATATCGCGCGTGTAAAACTGTTGGTATTTAAATAACGTAGGTACCTATCTGCTATTTTTGAATACGTTTGTAATATTATTAAATTATTATCATCAACGGAAGGAAGTAAAATATTATTATATTTTCCACGTTTCGTTCGTTTTATTACAAACGTTATAATTCCACAATAATTGCCGAATCGTCCGGAAATTAAACTATATATACAATTTGTATGCAATTTATAACTTGATGCAAAAACTTATTCATCGAAAAATATTAATGTTCTACTTTTATTGTATTGTTTGTCACCTTTTCTCATCATTAATAAAATTAATACAAAAAATAATAATAACAATAAATTGAAGAAGTAAAATGTTTATGTTTTTATCCTTACTTACAATATACTTATTCTATTGTTTACCTACTTGCTGAAAGGATAATGTTTTGAGTTTTGAAATTTAAGCAAACACAGAATATAATAATAGTTTTACCGTCACATTATTGGTTAATACCGACTAAATTAAATAAATAAATAACGGGTAAAATTGAAATAAAATAAAGAGACTATAATACTTTGCACCATGAGTGGGTCACTGTTGTATGTGAGAAGTTAGGAAGGTAGCATATGGAGGAAAATTGAATGTAAATCTGAATGCAAAGATTAGTCATAGCTATTGAAAAATAATTCTGAGCGGAGCTCGATTGTACAAATTTTGTAATGCCATAATCTTTACAATTTTCGTTAAAATTTGATATATAATTTTTATGAAAATAAAATTCGACCCAGTTACTAAAACTCCTGTTAAATTTTGAATCATTTCTGTTTGGTCTAATAATTTTATCCGAATAGTATCTACAGAATAAAAATTACATAAATAACTCGCAAAATTGAAATGCCCTTAAATAGCTCAAAAATAGCTAAATGTTTTGAAAATTTTACTACGTTTAGAAAAAGCAAATATACATTTTCTATCTAAATTTCAAGTGAATTAAGTTATTTCAATTGAATAGCAACAAAAAACTAAATTTAAAATAATACATTTTGTAAATGTTCTAGTTATTCCTACACTTTTTCCGGATTTTTTTACTATGAAAATCCCTTGGAAAATTAAAAAATGAGTTCTAATTAACTAAAAAAACGTACATATTATGAAAAAATAAATAATGAACTTATTTATTCTCGAGAGGAAGATGACGTTTTGTGTTTTCTGTGAACTCTATTTTAGTTTCTTGCTAAATTACATTCGTGTATTCATGCCGTATAGCGTTTACACATACTGACGTCATGTGTCTCTCGAGAAATCAATTCAAAGGTTTTTTTTGCTTTTCTTTCTTTCTATCTTTATTACCAACGCACCAAAAAGATTAAATTTCAGTGAGTAATATGTACTATTAGTAGACTATAATAATTGTATAACATGTAATTTGTCGAATTATAATTTGTAAATTCTAATTCTAATTTTATAATTTATAAATTGTAAGATCATTATGGTATATAAGGTATATAAGAATGTACAACTGGTTTTAATTAAAAATAATTTATGTATATTCTTCAATAAATAAAGAGAATATTTTTTTACACATTTATAAAAATAATTTGTCTAAGAAAATTAAAATTTTGGTTTAAGCACGGGAAAATGTGTTTTATTCTACGCAAATACTAACGTAACACAAATTTAATATATTCTTACAATTTAACTAACCTTTGACTTTAAAATGAGGTAATTACTGGTTTTACGTTTACCTTCGGAAATACGCCAATAAGATCCGCTTGTCAATCCACCTATATACCATTATTTATCAATGTGATTCCCGAACATTGAATTTCGGATGTGAGCATGCTATTAATCGAATTCTGTTAACGAACGAAAGAAAGACCATAAAAGTCTAACATTTTTTTAATAATTTATTATATTATAAGCTCTACATTTAAAAACATACAAAAGAAACTGTGTCCTCGTTGAATACGTCAGACTTCGATAAACTTAAGATAATTACAATAAAAACAAAAATATTACAAATGGACAAAATATAATTACCGAGATGAGATCCTAAACGAAAAAAAGATTGTTGACACGTGAACGGGGATTGCGAGTTAGAGAAGCTTTTTGTCTTAAGTTGTCTAATTCGACATAATTAGATTGGACACCGTAAGATAAATAACCTCTCCAATACCAAAAATATGTGGCTTTGGTGAAGGACTGGTCGTTTTCGTGATTGTTATAGATCGATTTATCGAATCGGACGAAGAAGTGCCCATTGATGACTTTATATTTTTAAATTCATATAATACAAAGCCAAAAATGTTTCACTACACCGACCGTCCGTTTATTACACTTGACCTCGAATGTCTCGAGTTCGGAGCAGGTGCTCATGGGAAAATCCTGGTTATCAATAAGATTAGTGAAAAATATAAAACACAAGCATCTAGTTGATGATTCGGACCTTCCCTGGCAAATGAACGGCTTTTTCCGAATTTCCCTGGTGCCTGTATAATAATAGATTAACTTAGAGCTTGCGATCCGTCGTGTCGTTTGGTATTGTGTGAAATGTAGAATATTTTGAAATAATGATTTTTGTCACGTGATTGACTTTCGTGATAATGACATGATATAAAATAGCTATAAACATGTTTTCACTATCAATATCATGGCGAACCTCACAATTAGAATTATAGTAATTTTCATTGGTAAGCTTGACAATGAGATCGAAATATTCTACTCTTGATCAAAAAATTGTATGTCATACGATTGGAAACGGTACAACGAGTTGATAGTCCCTTAATCCCCTTTTACCGATTTTCAATATAATATAGTATCAATCTTACACACATAAAATTACAATAAGGTTTGACATGGTCCACACTAATGTGATAGTAAATCATAATAATAATTTCTTAATTAATTAATAATAATAAATTCCTATACAATATTGACAACAATTTTTTACCAAAATATCCGTCCGCTTATTAGCGCCGAACTCGAATATATCTGTACCGTATATAAGCACACGCGAAGCTCGTATCTCTACTACTTACCAATGATGCGATATAAAATAAATGTTTTGATTAAAATCAATATACATACATATTCGTAACATGCTTAAAATTAAAAATTATAAAAAAAACTAAAATAGATAATGTTCTTTTCTTTAGTTTTGAACCTAGACAAATACATTATAATTGTAAAAGTAACAGCACATTATGAGATTTATACTAATATAAAAAAGTTTTAAAAAAAAAACAATAATTGATTTTACAACATTTAAGGTAACAATGTTTATATGTACTAGTATTTATATTAAGATATAAATGGTGGAACCATATTGGCCTAAATTGCTTTGTTTCATATAATATTTAGAAAACTATTTAATTTAGCTATCTCGCTGCTGATTTAGAAAACTTAACAATCTATATCTTATCCGATATCCGTTGTTTTTATCGTAACGTGCGGACTAGGACATATAGTGGGTACATTTATTATTACATTTGATATAAGCCACTATATCTCACTAACCTGTTCGCCCGTTAATTGCACTCGATCACGAATTTCCCATTCCCGGAATGTATGCAAAGGAGAATCGTCTTGTTTTTAAAATCGCTACAAGCATAAATTTGAAAAATCCCTAAATATCAATTTTTTGTTAAGTGATGTTGTGCTTAAAGCTTAATTAGAGCATACTAAATAAATTTTTCCTTAGATCAATAATATTTATTTAAAATAAAATAATTTAAACAATTTAACTACAAAACTTTTACAAACTAGAAGTTTACCTGAATTTAATTTAAACTAATTTAAGTGACAACTGTAAAACAATACAAAATTTAGTTAAACACAAAATTATAAAAAAAATGCTTATCATTTAAGTTATTTTAGTAGTACTCATGTGAAAATACCTCCTTCAAAGTGTGCAATTACTTTTGAATGATAGTAACAAGAACGCTAAATTTTAATAACAGCCGAAAAGTCCAAGTCCTCGTTAAGTACGTCGGATTAAGATACAAATAAAATAAATCCAATAAAATTAAAAAAATCACGAATGAACAAAATAAAAGTACTGCGAGGGGATCCTATATGAGAAAATGATTGTTGACACGTGAACGATGATTGCGTGTTGAAG